TGGTATATATAGTAAGATTCGGAAGTATGCTTTTATATGTGAACAGTATATTGTACAACAAGCTTGTAGAATATATATTGTAATTATATATCAATTCGAGGCATTTTTCGATTTATTTATGATAATACAAACGACCCAATCTGACAAGGATAATATTGTGGTGTTAAACAAGTGTATCAAGTGGTAAAAAGAAAACTTTGCTAGAGAACTCAAATACATATCATTTAACTTAGATTCACTTAAGATTGTTGTTTTTACTGATATCTCTTTTGCAAACAATAAGGACTATTCATTCCAAATAAACTATGTGATTGTTATGATGAATAAATACAATAATACTAATATCATTCATTGATTATCCATTAAATGCAAGAGAGTTATATGTAGTGTTTTGGTATTCGAGTTATATGGATTAGTTTAAGGATTCGATATTGATGCAGTAATTACTTTTACAGTTAGTGTTATTCTCGGCAAGGAGATTCTATTAGTTTTGTGTATTGATTTCAAGTTATTATACAATCTACTTACGAAACTGGGAACGATTAGTGAAAAGAGATTAATGATCGATATTATGATATTATGTTAATCCTATGAGCGGAAGGAGATTGTTGAAGTGATCTGGATTGATGGTTTGACTATTCAGTCGATGTAATAACGAAAGGAAAGCTATGTCAAGCTCTTGCTGATCTGATTAATATGAATAAGATCGATATCAAGATAATGAAGTGGGTGGAATGGGATTAAAGGAAGGGATTGGTTCTGCTGGTAAGAGGTTAGGGATTTTAGTTAGCAGATGGAGGATTTTATGATTTTATGAATTTCTTTTTAGCTATTGTATTTAAAGCTATAAAAGAGAGTTTTCGAATATATGAATAAGGGAATTTACTTTAAAAGAATAACTTCAATATAATGGCTATTGTATTAAAGGTATTTAGACGAATGCAAAGGAGACTAGCTCTTTCAGTAATGCCTATATAAGGCCTACTACTTCCCCTTATTAGCTAGCTCTTTAAACAGAATACAATACAGACATTTAGGGGCCTACTAATGAATAGTGGGAACCACGTCCTCCCGTATTCCTGATCTCATTATTGAACCAACAATTATTATTATTATTATTTCTAAAGTGTGTTGTTTATACTATTTATAATATTTTTATATTCGGAATAATTATATTCTATAAGAAATAAATAGTATAATTAGTTAAATTATGTGATATGTGATATATTAATTTATAAATATACATTTCTAAATATTTAATTTTTCAACACTTATTCCTTTTGCTCCTATTCTTAAAGCTTTTTAGGTATGCATTTCTTAAATATTTGAAATCTTTTTTACAATAAATTGAATAATTCAAATCTAGGTCTTGAAAACGCTATATTCCAGAAAATCCTGTAGCTGTAATATAAACTATAAATGTACTACATAGAGAAGCTATATTATGTATTAATATCAAAAAGAGATTAACAAATAAATAAAAACTAGGTGTAGGTGGAAGATCACCTTTTTTTAAAAATAAAAGTGTAAAGAAAGTTTCAAAAACAAAGATTCAAAATACAAGAAAGCAGCCTAAAAAAGGAAAAGTAGAAGTTGCTAAAAGAGCTTACCGATGGAAAACAGGGAATAAGTAAACTTTTTCTTGATTTCTAAGCTTCTTTCTTATTAATTGAGTATAGTGGTTATATTACAAAAATTAAAAAATATTAAAAATCAACCGAATTGCTCTTAAAAAAAAGCCTCTTTTCAATATTTAATTAAAAAGATTTCAAATCAATTTATATTTAATGAAGAGTATTAGAAATAGAATACTACTATTCTTGTAACAATTCAAAAGACAGCTGAATCCTTTATAATTATTTATTTTGAAATATATTTTCTATCCTTTCTATTTATTAATTGAGTAGATTATTGATTTAATTTATAATACTACAATATTATATATTTTATACAAAAAGGCAAATTATTAAAAATATAGATAGCATTTTTCTTTAAAGAATGATAAAGCTGGCAATCCTTATTATTAATGAATATTACATCTTGAAAGGACTAAACTTTATAATTTTCTTATTAACTGTTTTTCATTAGTTATTTCTTATTAGTCATTTCTTATTAACTATTTCTCACTAGCTATTTCTCACTTGCTATTTCTTATTAGCCAATTATTACATATTTATATTCTTTATTTCATATATCTAGGGCTGGTGAATAGGTATTATTTGTATTCATATATTATTAATATCAAATAAAACAAAGGTATTAAAAAATATAATATTAATATCTAATTGAATAAATATAAAGATTACATTAATAAAAACATATAATAAAAAGAACAGAATAAATAGAATTGCCAAATCAAAAACTATTAGAACTTAGAAGCCATTTTTTATTTAAAGCTTGTTATAAAGAAACAGATAATAAAAACATTTCATTATTTTTTCTTTTCATACTGCTCTTTAAGTTCTTTATAGATCTTATTCATAAACTCTACTTGAAATAGGCCTATATATATAAATATCAGTAGTTCATCATAAGATTGGCGAACATTAGGCATTGGATATTGTAAGAAATCAACAAGCTTGAAAGCAATATCAGCCTTTAAAGACTTATATTTGCTAGGGTAGTTTTGTACAATCATATAATATACTTGATGCCAAGGGGCAGTAAGTTGTCGACTTGAATATATAAGGCGTTAAAATAATTTCTTGATTTATTAAAATCTCTTAAAAATTTATTAATATAAAATAAACTATCTGTAACTTCAGAAAAAAACAGTTTTTCAAGGTTTTTTCGATAGTGTATAGCTCGCAATAGATTGTTTATATCATTTTGTTTCTAACTATAAATCAATTAATAATAAAATACATTCAAAAATATAAATTCCTTATCTTATATATCCCAAAGCTATATTTATTTTATCTTTTAGTATTCTTATCTAAGAAAGATATAGAATGTATTGAATCAGCAAGATTATCCTCTTTATCCAAAGAAACGATTATTTGTTGTATTAAAGCTATAGGGTAATATACAAATTTACCACTAACTATACAAATTTCAAATAGAAATTGAAAAATCGACCAGCTCTCTATATAATGATTTTGATGCCAACAATATTTTCGATTATTAGCTTCGCTTATTTATAAAAACGTTTTTTATAGATGATTAGATGCATAAGACTACATAATATCGTTTTTTTTATTGAATCTAGTGTTCCAACCAGATAGATTAAGAAAATACCGATATTCTACATAATATCCCTTAATCTAAATCAAATTAATTAGATTAAATAAATAATAAAAAAAAAGAATATTTATATCGAATTGATTTTCTTTTTAATTTGATTATTAATTAGATTCTTATTATTATTAATATGTATCTTGTGCTCTAAAGTAATAGCTTATGCAAATTGATTATAATAAAATATTCTTTATCTAGTAAATTGATCTGATTATTGATTAGTCTTCTATAAATAACTTTGTATTAAATTTAAAAAAGCTTTTCATAAAGTTTCTATTTAAATTGATTTGTAGATTTCTTCGAAATATTTTCAATCTCAGTTTCCGGATTCACTGATTTATTCTTTTTTTTAATAATATCAGTAAAAAGATTCTTTTTACTTTCTGAACTACTATAGGTATTATATTTTGGGTCTTGATTAATGTTATAGCTATTATCGACATCCCTCTCATCGTTATTATTCTCATTACTATCTGTATCGATGTTTGTTGAGAGCCTCTCATCGGTTTCGGAATTCTGCTATATATTATAAATTAATATAATTAAAATAAACTTTATTTGAATCAAATATCTGTATATAGCTTTTCTTTTTTATAAAGAGTATTTTCTTTTAATTAAAAATAATATCGTCATTGTAGAAGGAGTTGGATAGTGAATCTCTAATAGAAGAAAAGGAGAAGATATCATAATCTCGAAGTTGGCTTTGAGATTCGATTGTTTTTGCTGTAGGTTTGGGCTTTTGTTTAGAATAACGAATTGAAAAAAAAGGACTTCGAATTCGAGATTTTCTACCTTTTTTTTATACAGATATAAACCTTCGATTACTATTGTTATCAATAATTTTCGATTTCCTAAATGCTTTCGAGATGTTTTGGATAATAATTGTATTATTAGCTATTGAAATAATTTTATATATAGAAAATAGCTTCAAAAATACTTCAAAAAAAGGTTTTTTTCTTTGAAAAAAAAAGAAAGAAAAAAGATAAAATCAAAATATATTTCTTTTTCAATTCTAAATACTTTTTCAAGATTATTATTCTATTAAAGCTTTTTATATGGTTTTCAATTTTAAATATAAGGTTTTAATATCGAATTGAAGTTTAAATTGAATATTCTAGAAAAACCACGGATTATTTAGCGGATTTGACATCCAAACTATAAAACCATAGATTAATAATCTACTCTTTTTGAAGCGAATTGATACCACCACGGAATTCGTGATAGCATAAAGTGTAGATTATTTCAGCGGATTCAGCACGGATTTTATATCCAAACTAGCCCTAAGCCCCTACAAAACCACAAAACCTATTTCAATCAATTTATAGTATATCTTCATATTTGGTGACAACAATGATATTTATCGAGCTCTTCCTGTTCCGGAAGAACTACTAATAAATAAAACTACAAAATATATAGAAGATTCAGTTGAAGGGTATTGTACTTGATCGTTCATATTCTATAACACTAAGATCTTAGTGTATTATATACAAAGCCTTAATACTACCAAAAAGGAACATTTTTTTAACAAGTATAGATCTTATCGTAGATCTGTTGATAAATCTAAATCCTGTATTCAAGAACTACATTTTACAGGTTTTATGGTTTTGTAGGGAAGCTTGCCCACATTTCCCCATCTTCGTCCAACATTCCCCCGCTATATGCGGGCAAGCGGCCTATCGAGTTCAGAACAACATCTCCAAATAATAAATAAAGCTCCAAGCAATCAAGCTCCCTTCTTAAATTGCAGACATTCACAACACAAAATGGCCGATAATAACTTGGTCGATCGACTGGCCCTTATCACGGGTGCATCTGGAGGGTAAGAAGCACCACTCTTTGTCACCGAAAAACTATGAATAACAAGAGGATAGAATAGGATCAGCTTGTGCTCGTGCATTTGCAGCTGAAGGTGTTCATCTCGCACTCACATATTCTACTTCCAAAGATGCGATTGATAGACTCCTGGATGAATTACGTCAAACATCATCGGGGAAAGATCTTCGAATCTCTATTCATCAAGTGGACATGGGTTCACCAGAACAAATCTCGGGCCTCTTTGATGAGATCAAACGTGATCATGGGAGTCGCACGGTAGATATATTAATATCAAATGCCGGGCATGGAAAGAGAATTGTAGATATATCAGATATTCCATTAGAGGAATTCGACTACACTCTTAACATCAATTTGAGAGCATCGTTCTTATTAGTCAAAGGTGTGGTTGAGGGAATGAAGGCACAAAAGTGGGGGAGAATTATCTTTATATCGAGTATAGCTGCTTATGGAGCTGGGCTCAATGGTTGCCGTATGATATATACTCTCCATCTCTTTTCTTGAGTTCTTGACTGATGTGCACTTAGATTACGCTGCATCGAAAGGTGGTCTCACGTCTATGATGAAGAACCTATCACTTCACCTTGCCGAGTACAAAATTACAGTCAATGATGTGGCACCGGCAATGATTGGCAACACAGGTATGATTCCAAATGCCGATGTTGCTCCTGGTTTACTTGATGCAATTCCACTACATCGATTGGGCACTCCAGAAGAATGCTCGAATGCAGTTATGATGTTTGCAAAGACTGGTTACGCTACTGGTCAGAGCTTGTTGCTTGCAGGGGGGTTAAATCACAAGTAAATGGCCTTTGGCATTATGTTTAAAAGCTCGTTGCAATCTTATCATAAGATGGTACATATATGGATAGGGTCCCGTAGCAATGGTACTGTCAGATACCTGGATTGAGCTCGCTGGGCCCATCACAGAATAATAGCGAGGAAAATTGATCTCCTTACAATGTCGAAGCGACCATTGGACATTCACGATTCAGTACGTGTAAAATCTTTGTGCAAATTTGAATCACTTGAGTCTTGAGCCTTCAAAGACATTCTTGTATCCGATTATCCACTTTCAGTCTAGAATTTGGGAAGTATCATGAAGCATTCACGTTCATGAGAATTTGAACTCGTTACATTCTTAAATATTTGAAAAGCAAGGCAAAAGGCAGGACGAAAAGAGGGTATCATCTCACATCCCACATCCCACAACGAAAAAGGCCATCAAAAGTACCACTTCAATATCCCATCCCCTATTATTGAAAAAAAATCCCATCCTCATCGACTTCCTGGACGTATTTTCCCCCATGTATAATTATACAATACAAGCGATACTCCATTCCAAAAACAAAGACAGATGGGGAATATAAATTCAAAGGTGCTTAGACACCAGGGACTTTGACATCCGTTCTACCACTTCTGTGCCAAACCGCCAATAATGCACCACAATGCCCGCATTTATGTTCAACATCCTTGAGGCCAGAGATAAGGTAAGGTATACATCCTAGACAGGTGACTGCGCAGCAAAGAAGCGCGATGAGACTAATAGAGGGTTAGTATATATTATATTGCCTCCGAAGAGGCGAAAGAGATAAACTTACTGTGTAGTCATTCCACTATGGCTTTCAACAGCTGTTACCTCTCTTACACCGCAAACAGGACAGTCTACAGGAGTAGGGCCGGTTTGGAGTGCACGGATAGGCATAGCGGTGGCATAGTTATTCTTTCCTTGATTGATATTTGCTTGAGGTGGAGGTTGCGCTGGATAATGATCTTGGGGAGGGTATTGACCTTGAGGAGGTGGAGCTTGATATTGACTCTTCTCATTTGTGAAACCCTCTTGCTGAGGTGGGATTTGTTGTGATGCCATTGTATTTTGATTAGGGCCGACGACTTCAATACCTTGATAAGCGTCTGGTTGGATGTGTTGTTGAGTTTGATGTGATTGTGGAGGTAAATCAGGATGTGGCTGTTGTTGAATATTTGAAGTAGATGTGTTGGTGATACCAGTTAATTGTGGAGAAACGGAGGTGAGGTTATGACTGGTTGAACCTGTGATTTGAGGAGATGTAAGGGGAGAAACTCCTTCTTGATAGGTAGGTGGAGGTGGATTATTATATTCGACCATTGTCAGACGTTGTTTAGTGAATTGATTTGACAACTTGAAAGGGGCTTGACAAAGGGCTGTGGAGGCGCGTGGAGGCGTGGAATGTATGATGTATGATGTATGATGTCGTTTCTTTTGAGCTAATTAAGGCTCATCGAATAACTTAGCAAAGACCAAAAAGGATATCAAATTTTCGCCGAGATTTCTGAATCTTGTTTAATAATGACTGTGGTTTGAAAATTGAAGCTTCGTGAAGTTTGATTGCACGTAGATGAAATGTTTAATGAAATTTCCGGGCGTGGTTCCGACGGTATTGCTGGATGCTACTAGATATTCACATCAATGGGATCTCAAAGCAAAGATGGTTTGTATTGTAGAGGGAGTGAAGGATGGAAGGAAAGAATGAAAAGACGTTGGCATTATCTCCCAGCTCCTCCCCAGCTCCCGAGCTCTCCCAGCTACCCACGCGTGCTGTGGTAAGTTGTTACCTAGACCTTAGCACGTGCTTAGATCAACAGAAGGAGTTAAATGTTGCCGCAGCTGAACGGTTGAAGTGGCACAGGCCTGGATAAAGCTCACGCTAATGCAATGAATTATGTCAAATATGGATATATACCTAGGATGGTGCAGGATTATGAGGATATTAGCATCATATTACCTCGAGATTACATGGAGATTGTAAAATGTCTCCACTATTTTAAGTTGAGCTAATCAAATCACTCTATTGGAAATTAAAAGGGAGGATGGAGATGAAAATGGATCAGCCCTGGATCAGCCCTGGATCAACCTTGGCTCAACAACTGAAACTGGAGAATCGAGAAACCCCCTTCAAATTTGACCCAGGTGGCCGGGGGTACCTACGGGGCGAACCTTGGAAGGCTCGTGTGGCTCGTGTAGCTCATGTGGCTCATGTGGCTCGTGTGGTTCATTTTGGCACGTGTTGGGGCTGAGTCCAGGTTCATGATCCTGAAAGTCTACTCTGTCCAACAACAGGGAGAACCTTGAAGGGCCAACTCTCCAAAATGATCCCTTCTGCAGTCTTCAATGAAATCTTCCCACAGTTCCCGAGCTCGCCACCACGAGTTATCTCCTTCATCCAACTCTCTTCAAAACTCTGGTATTCCAACTCTCTTGTGATAGCGATCCATGAAGATGGTTCTCGCAAATTCACCCTCTAATCATACACACCATGAAGGATAGTGTGGGCATGGCATTGCATAAGCCGGATATGTTTGAATTGGACTCGGACATTGTGAAGCGTAATCATACATGAACGCTTCGCTATGTCCATACTCGATTTGTTCTTGTTCTTGTTCGGATTGCTGGCAGGTTTCAAAGTAAGCATTTTGTCAAACTTGATGATTGGAAGCAACAGTATTGCTACTGTCACCCAATCGCATGTCATTAGACAGCTTATGTGCAACTTACAATGGGACAATCCACGTGAGCCAAACTTGTTTGTTTTCTTGGTCGAGATATACTGAATTCTCCACATCGTCTATGACTGACAATCTTCTTGTGGTTTCTTTGCCATCTCTTGAACCTCGAACAGATGTAAACGCTGGTACTCGATTCATTGCATCCTGTGCAACGAACTTCTTGCTCTACGCACATCTTATTATAGTGAGTGATCTCAAAAAGGCTTCAGTTATATTGGGAATTTGATTGAATGACTTCGTTGAATTGTTCGGGAGCAATTGTTACATTTGCGGAGTGCCCGTCAGGAGTTCATGATCCGCATAGTAGGAATTGTCCAGATTTCAAAAGTTTGAAATCGGAGAGACAATCCACTTATATTTAACTCCAAAGCTACCTGACAAACGTCCCATTTTATCGGGTAAAAACACACAAAATTTATACACGTATCGCTCATGAACCAAGTGGTCCATTTCTACTCGAGCGCAACAACGCACAAAAGAAAACAAGACATCTTAATGGCGGTTCGCACCCCACCCTTAATTTTATCGGCTAAATCATCATTCAAATTATTCAACACATGTTTGATCACTACTTACTACTCATGTAACCACAATAAATGATATCGAATAGGCTTCATCATTCCCTCACCTCTTCACTAACATCTATACAATGCACTGGTCCACGAGAAAGACGAGGCAGATAATTGCTTCTTCCCAGTGGTGGGCGAATCCATGCAGTGAGAACACTATATATTTAGAATAGTTTAACCGGACCGGATTATTCAAAAGTTCGGGGCGGTTGACAGATTTGATGCAAGCTGTCAATGGTGGTTGATGCATATTTCACAAGGATATTTCTTGCTCGGATGATGGTTCTGCATTGGGTATGAGTGAGTGCCCCGGCAATTGGAATTTTCCTCGCATTGGTATCTTTCGCAGATGCATACGTTCGTGATTCTACTCTTGTTTAACAAAGTAGAATCCGCGAACTTATCTGTGGTTCGTGTGCTCTCACAGAATACTCCGTCGATTGCAACTTGTGGTACCGGATGATCGCACACTTTCATTATTGCCAGTACTGCAGTGCGTCTGAAAGACCCGGTGCAAGTGTTTCCCATAGTTCAGATTGCAGTTCACACGAGATTCTACTTTCAAAGTTTTCGATTGTTTGATCTGGACGATTGAACACCCTGCAAGGGTATTCATTGAACACTTTTTGCCAGTGCGACCATTTCATCAACTATCGATTAGTACCAGAGCAACCCGTACAATACTTGAATCGATTTACTTGAGCACCATTGTGACAGGCGCTCGTGTATTTACGCCCTTCTTCTCTCTTCTGCTCCACCCTTTCTGATGGAAGCGAGTGAAGTACATATGTGAATGGAACAAAGCACAGGACAGATATATACGCGAGGAGGCACGTAAGAACTGGGAGCTGTATAGCCGAATATAAAAACGATTCTCGAATTTGTGAATGGCCGTATCAGGAGGGCGAGCCAGGTAGCGGCGTAGGCGGAAGTTTATGCATTGGGGAAGATTGAATCCTGAAGCTTGGTCGCGGGGGGAATGTATAGATTTTGAAGAGTAAGAGTAGTTGGTCTTAATGAATTAACGTTACAGGATAATGCGCGACTTTTTATAATGGAGTTCTCTATGACTCTCACTCTTCTTCATTCCCTTCCGCGACTAAGTTCATTCACGAATACTTGAAGTGATTGTGGTATGTCTCTACAGTGATTCGACACTTTTTTCTTTTGCCATAGAGAATGGGATGGCTATTTGAAGGCAGCCTTCCAGCCCACTGCTCGAATCCTCTGCAACTATCTGGAAGTCTGACATCTATCTATCCCTGCATAAAATTCGACACACAATACATCATTCATTCATACGCATCACGAACTAGCACCACCCTCGAAATGTGCAAAGAACCCGAAATTATCTGTCTCTCTTGCTCTTCAACCATTACGGTAATCGATACCTGTTCTCTTTACAACGTGAAATCAGCAGCTGAGCACGGCATCTCACATCGAACTTGCCAACAGTTCAAGCCCAATGTTGAGAATGCAGAATATGTGCAGAAGACGGATAAAGAGTTTCACATGTGCTAAGATCGACGAGCGGGATCTGCATTTCCCTTTTCCTTCTTAGGAATGAGATCAGAAGACAAGTAGAAATCGGATTGGGAGGGGTGGTCCGGATGGGGAAGGGGTTCAGATGGGTGGAAAAGGGGAGAAATGATGGAAAAGGCCAAGACGCTAGAAGCTAAATGTTTCTGAGGATGGAAAGGTAGAATGAAGTGGAACAGGGATGTATTAGAAACGGGCAGATCTTAGGATGGCGAAGTAGACTAGACATATAGGGAAGAGGGGGAAGAGCTCAAAGCTCTAGAGAGACTGGCTTGGTCAGATTATCTTTGTTTGTATTCTTAGACCATAGACCTTTGAGGAATGCACATACACTATGCTTTTACGTAACATTATGGATGTAAAATCTATAGCGATGAGTGCGCGTTGTAACATTGT